TAATGGCAAATGCCAATTGAGCTCTATGGTGCCGGGCAGTGAGCACAGGGCCCACTAGAGGTTGTTGGGCCCTCAGGCCACCCTCATGAAGTCTGTTTCTGATTGTTTGGTCAGAGATATTCACACCAGTGGCCTGCTGGGCAGTGCTCATCCTGCTCCTCCTTGCACAAAGAAGCAGATACCGGTTCTGCTGATGGGTTAAAGACCTTCTACGGCCCTGTCCATCACTCCTTAAGTAATTGCCTGTCTCCTGGAATCTCCTCCATGCTCTTGAGACTGTGCTGGGAGACACAGCAAACCTTCTGGCAATGGCGCGTATTGATGTGCCATCCTGGAGGAGCTGGACTGCCTGGGCAACCTCTGTAGGGTCCAGGTATTGCCTTGTGCTACCAGTAGTGACACTGACCCCAGCCAAATGCAAAACTAGTGAATAACAGTCAGAAAAGATGAGTGGGGAAATAAATGTCAGTGTCCTCCACCTGTAAAATCAAGCAGAGCAGGCATGGACCAGCCATCTGCTTGCTCAGCAGGGATTAGTGGACAGATTCCCCACTGGGCAAGCAGACTGCTGGCAGAATCCACCCTGTGTGGAAGGGTTCTTAAAGAGAACTTCCACAACTTTCCCGGGGTGATAAATGCACATTGCAAGGATTTTTACAGACTTTGCTACAGATCCCTACCTGTTTCTGCTCTGGTGAAAAAGCTGTCTGTTCTATTAAGTCAATGTGCAAAGTGAATTTGAATGGGAGTGACTCGTTATTAATCTGCTGATGCATTTGTGATGTGCTAATGAGAAAAGCTGCAGGGTTGGCATCCCCATAGAAGTAAGTAACCCTTTGGAAGTATCTCACCAACAATGACATTTCTGTTACAGAGGATGCCTAATATTTGACTTGTATCTTAGTCCAGACATCTGGGGAAATCTGTGATCCCATCACACAAGCAGGAAATGACATTTCTGGGGAAGTTCTAAACACTAACTGTGCACAGAAGGCCTGCAGCATGTCATATTGTATTGCATTTTACAGAAAATTACAGTGCTGCAGATTGAAAAAGAAAGGTATTTTTTAATAAAAATTTATTTGTATTGCTTGTAGATGGCTTGTGTAGCAATTGTATATGCTACATCATTTTTTTTATTTGCTATTTCTTTCCCAAGAAAGTTGAGCTACCCTTTAAGGATGACCTGAAATTATATCTAAAATTGGGTCCAGAGCAGATTGCTACCGTTAGCTCAGTGCTTCCAATCTTTGTGCGTCCTGAATCTAGTCCCTGCTTTTTTATAGCATATATGTAAACCCACAGTCATCTATGGTAAGCCCACTAAAAAATGGAGAATAGATGGGAGGGGGTGCGCTTTAAGGCACCTATACATGGGAAGAAAAGATTGTGCTCTTGCTGGGCATCACATGCATTTCCATGCCTTTAAGGAGGGGTGGGCTCCCTTAATCTATCCATTCTTATATGTGCTCCTACTATGGAGCCACTGGAAATTACAGTATAGAGTTAGTATCTCACCAACAATGACATTTCTGTTACAGAGGATGCCTAATATTTGACTTGTATCTTAGTCCAGACATCTGGGGAAATCTGTGATCCCATCACACAAGCAGGAAATGACATTTCTGGGGAAGTTCTAAACACTAACTGTGCACAGAAGGCCTGCAGCATGTCATATTGTATTGCATTTTACAGAAAATTACAGTGCTGCAGATTGAAAAAGAAAGGTATTTTTTAATAAAATTTATTTGTATTGCTTGTAGATGGCTTGTGTAGCAATTGTATATGCTACATCATTTTTTTTATTTGCTATTTCTTTCCCAAGAAAGTTGAGCTACCCTTTAAGGATGACCTGAAATTATATCTAAAATTGGGTCCAGAGCAGATTGCTACCGTTAGCTCAGTGCTTCCAATCTTTGTGCGTCCTGAATCTAGTCCCTGCTTTTTTATAGCATATATGTAAACCCACAGTCATCTATGGTAAGCCCACTAAAAAATGGAGAATAGATGGGAGGGGGTGCGCTTTAAGGCACCTATACATGGGAAGAAAAGATTGTGCTCTTGCTGGGCATCACATGCATTTCCATGCCTTTAAGGAGGGGTGGGCTCCCTTAATCTATCCATTCTTATATGTGCTCCTACTATGGAGCCACTGGAAATTACAGTATAGAGTTAGGACCACAGTTTATACAGAGGTCCCTTGACATGGGCACTGCAGCTTACATATATGCGTGCAAACAAAACCCTCTATTTGTAGCGCAAACTATTAGACAGAGCCACTTTGGTTGTTTTGCAGGCTGGTTAGTAAGTGTGTTGGGAAATTCTTTGTATCTGATGTGCATTGCCCTTCCATGTGCACCTTGCTGTAATGGCTGGTTATAGGTTGGGGTGTTAGCCAACTATTTGTACATAAACCAGTAAGTACCTTGGGAGATTGTCAGGAGAAAATTGTGCATCCATAAACCAGCAGAATACGCCAGTTTAAAAAGCTTTTATTTATTATAAATGTGGGTTGGGGGTTCTCAAGTGCTAGCATCTAAACCTGCAAGATGTTTTGGAGACTAGAGGCCTGAAGATATTTGGAATTTAGACCATTGAAAAAGAGGACCCTTTTTCAGACCATGACACAAACGTTGTCTAAATCACTGAACATCACGTTTTATTCTTTTTATTTTTCGTACTTAGTGTTTTAAAACTCAGTTTCTGCAATAAACATGTATTACAATATGTGAGCAAACTTTGCAGGCTTTCTAATGTACTGAAACCAAAGACATTTAGGCAAATGCCTTAAATTATTTGTATTGAACAATCAAATATTTATTTCCATTTACTTGACGACTGCGCCTGGCTGGCAGGATGAAGATTTTGATTGCTAATAGGAGCTTTAATAAAGATTCTCATGTTTGTAGGATTCTGCTAGAAAGCTTTACAGCGGTTTAAACTTCTTCTTGCATCAAATTTCTGTATTAAATAGCAGTTAAATGAAATAAGAGGATTTGGCACAGATGTCTAATCCACCACAGAGAGGTTAATAGCGAATTCCGCTTAACGAGCAAATATTTAGGAAAGTTGAAAATACATATAAGAAAGAAAATTCTCAAAACACATGTCATGTGATGGACTACTTTTTTTTTGCCACGTCAGCCCTTTTTTTTGTCACGTCAGATACATGTCACGCCTAAGCAGCTACATTGTTGCCCAGTCATAGATTGGCTTTCTGGCTACTTTGGTGGATACCAGAAGGCTTGAGTATTTAAAGGGCACCTAACATCACAAATATTTTTTCATGTTAATTATATATTTTCATGTTTATTTGTTACTGATATTTACATAGCACCCACAATACACAATACACATAGCACTTTACATATACTGTATATTGTACTCATCAGTCCCTGCCCTCAAGGAGTTCACAGTCTAAGTTCCCTAAATCACATTCATACATTCACATACTAGGGCCAATTAAAACAGGAGCCAATTAACCTACCAGCATATCTTTGGAATATGGGAGAGGAAACCAACACAAGCACAGGGAGAACAGGCAAATTCCAGGCAGGTAGTTTCATGGTTGGAATTTGAACCAAAGACCCCAGTGCTGCCAGACTGAAATGCTAATCATTTTATGCCACTTTGCTGCCCATTGTAGTATGTGTATGTGACAATTTTATTTTTTTCTTTCAGAGATTACAGTGCTTCCCTACAATGCCTTCTGTGTTTTATTTCCTCCAAAAGGACAGTACCATCTTTCTTTATGAATCTTCCAGGGTAAGCACCCTTAGATGGTAGTTCAGAAAAGACACAGTTATGTAAGTTCTGGTCCTGGGTGTGTTTCTGAACTTGTCACAAATTTTCAAGATTTCATTCTGATACTGGGAGGAGACTAACCCTAGGTTCACACCTGTGCAAAAGGGTTGCCACTGCTGGACCCGCAGCTATTCCCACAGTCGCAACCACCCGAAAAAGTGAAAAACTTAATGGCAGGACACCTGCACTAGAGATCGCACCCACAGTAGAAACAGCACTGCAGTTCCTGTGTGGGCTGCAATCTAAAAGATAGTGTAGAGTTCTTTTCCCTGCATTTCATGAAGCACGGCAGCCCATTCATTTGAATGCCCATGCAAACTGCGGCCTGCACAGCCACATATATGTGAACCTAGCATTAGGGAATGCTTCCTTCTACATTCAGCAGACTGATGACTTCATCAGTCTTCATCAGACTTCCTCAGTCAAAGTAAAGTCACATATCTGGAACTTATAGTGTATGTAAACCCTTACATATACCCAGGGGCATATTTGTCACGAGGCAAACAAGGCGTTTGCCTAGGGCAGCACATTTCAGGGGGGTGGCAGTCCGCCACTGCCCCCCCCCCCTCTCCCATGGAAGGGACACTTAGGACAAGGGCTGCTGTGTCTTACCTGTGTCCGCGACTCCATGTCCCACTTCGATTCGGTCCACGAGGCGCAGCTGGAGGAGGGGTCCGGTGTCTTAATTTCCCTGGATCTTGGATCGCAATGTGGGCAGGATGACATGCCACCCCTCTCATCTGGCCACACCCCCAGGATCACTGGGTAGCCTATGGCAGCCTGTCCCTCCCTCTCCAAACTCCACCTTCTCGCCGGTGATTGGCTGCCAGATCTGTAGCTCAGGGAAAGCACACAGGCAGAGAGGAGGAGCCGAGCGGCAGCGCAAAGATAGAAGAAGCTGATCGGAGTGACGGTCCTGCTGGAGCCAATCAAGAGGAGGAGAGTGGCCAGAGAAGGAAGACAGCTGATCGGTAAGGTAAGTGTCTGTGCCGAGATCTGGGCAGAGCAGATGTTGCTGCTGCAGCCAGGTATGCTGGGTGTAATTGGGAGAGGGAGGGAACCTGGGCTGGAGCAGGGGTCAGCACAGCAATGTAAGCATCATTGGTGTCAGTGGGAGAAATAGTGCCCTATCATTAGTGCCAGTGTGGGAGGAATAGTGCCCCATCATTATTGTCAGTTGTAGCAATAATGGGACACTATTCCCCCCACTCACACCAATTATGGGACACTATTCCTCCCACACTGACACTAATGAAGGGGCACTATTCCTTCCACTGACACCAATGATGGGCACTATTCCTCCCACTGACACCAATGATGAGACACTATTCCTCCCACTGACACCAATGATGGGACACTATTCCTCCCACTGACATCAATGATGGGGCACTATTCCTCCCACTGACACCAATGATGGGGCACTATTCCTCCCACTGACAACAGTGATGGGGTACTATTCATCCCACTATTCCTCCCACTGACACCAGTGATGGAGCACTATTCTTCCACTGACACCAAATGATGGGGCACTATTCCTCCAAATGACACCGATAATGGAATAAAATAAGAGGTGGGGCTCTAATAGGAAGTGGTGGGTCCTAAAGAGGAAGGGTGGAGTTTACAGATGAAGGGGCGGATCTTAAACAGGAAGGGGTGGGGCAAATTTAAATGCGGGGGTGCACGATTTTAGTCTTGCCTGGGGCAGCAAAAAAACAAAATACACCACTACATACTGTATACCCAGTGAAGTGACTGACCTACACAGAAATGAAACAAATACTGCTAAATAAGTTGTACCTATTTATTTGTAGCCCTCTTTCCTCTACACAGCATTTCTGAGCTCCAGAAGGCAGGGCGAGGCGGGCATCTGATTTCACACACTGCACAGCATAGAGCCGGAAGTTAAATGTAATCTGTTACCTGAGTGGAGGGAAAGGACACACCTCCGTCTACAAAGTCTCATAGGGAAACATGCACAGCTCAGACTGTCAATCACCTGCTGTGGGTTGAAGGGGCGGGAAAGTTTCTACAGATTGCTTGGTGTTGGCATAGACTGTCAGAAGTGACTCATGCAGATGGCAGAGGAATGACAGAGAAGAAACAGCTATCACACTAGGTGCTTAGGATTGAGACAAGTAGACACTATAGAAGGATATGCTTTGTTTATTTGTTCAATTCAGGGGTTTACAACCACTCTGTTGGATGTTTTTTTTTAATGACAAAAGGTTTGGCTTTTTTTTCAAAATGACTGTTGCTATACATTATGACATCTCAGAAATGTAATCATACAGAATTGTAAAGTTACCAAAAGGTGCACTAATAGTGTATTGTGCTTTCCTAGGCACTATTAGAAAACAAAATGCCAAATTGACTTTAGTGCATACACAAAGTACAGGAGCACAATGGAAAATAGTGGATTGTTCTGTAGTCTAACCTTGCATTGTAGTGACCTGGGACTTTAATAACACTAGGAACACTCCCTAAATGAATGTTGTGTGTTTTCCTCTTCTTTATGCAGATTTGATCAAGTTGAAAATAGAAAATCCAAAATGGTGTGAGCATGTGGGTTGCATTCGAACGTGTAAGACTGTGAGAGGGATATTAAACTGTCAATGCTACTGAACAGGAACTGGCCTACATGGTGTGTGCACATCACTACAGAATATGCCAGCTCCATACAAATAAATGAAACAAACACTATACTGCACTCTGCCTTCAAGACAGCTAGCACTCAAGTTCTCAGGCAGAACATGACATATGCAATCATTCAATCACAAATATAGATCCAGATGTCTAATATCCAAATGGTTATCAGTTATTTACCATCTTAATTACTGCTCTTTACATGAAGCTATTATGCACAATTAAGGTATATAAAAGCTTTTATAATTCTCCTGTGTATGGATATAAAGTGGAACTGATCCCACTGATTTAACTGTTTTCCAAATGAAAGCTCAAGTTATAAATGTTTCAAAATCTTTAACCACTTCAATACCATTATACAGCTATACCATTAAATGGTGGCCACTGACCTCACTAATGTCTGTGAATCGAGCTGTTCTCAGATGGCTCCATTCACAGACACTGTGTACAGAGCTTTTTCAAGCAGCTCTCAATCTTAGTATTGCCGAGATTGGCCATTGAGAGACAAATCACTGTGCTCACAGGAAGAAAACAGTGTGTGCTTATATATGTGAGCACTCCCCTTCCTTTTACAAGAGGATGGGGAGTAAACAGGAATGAATGAATAACTCATTCATTGATGCCTGAACACAGTACAATCACGGCACCTTCAGCTGCATGTAATGCATAACTTTTTCATCCCCCCTTACATACAATGGGATCATAGAGAACAAATATCACCACCCTCTACCAAGAAGTCAGATTGTTATAAAATGCTATCTGGAGGAGGCTGAAAGCAATAGAAGGGATGTTTTGAGTTAAGAGTATATACTCAAACCAAGATACCAGGATTACCAGGATAGCTGTTTAATATTGGCTCAATGCACGAAAACTGAATAATGAATTAACTTTTATTCACACCACTGTTGTACGTTGTCTTGGGACAGTGTGATACGTTGTTACAAGGCATTGCAAAATTTGTGTCACGCTCCACTAATAACCAATTAATATTAAATAAGTGTGTGTTAGAATCCTATGTGACCAAATCTCTTAAATGGTAACCATATATATCATGACGTGATCCTCCAAATAATATAAATTATTTCTAAATAATCATGAACCATTAATTCTTGTGCAATCTCAAAGCAACAAAATTTATATAATTTAAATTTAAATCTTCATTCCAAAACAAAATATATAAAAAAAATCAATCAAAAAAGTCCACTTTCTGATACGTCCTCATAAAGTGCTCCTTCTCCTACGTGCGCTCACCTTATTTTTGTGACCAAACCTTTAAGTGAGGTCAAAAGCAACTTGTGTCCCTTTAAATGGACTTGTGGGTGATTTTCAGGCTGTATCCTTATCCCAGATGGATGGATGGATGGATAGATGAGGGCAATGACACACTTTTTTCCAGCAGGGGGTCTTGATGTCATCCAGAGCCCTTACTTTCTGCATTATGGTGGATGGATGGATTTCTCCCTTTCTCCTCCAGGGGGTCTTTCCACTTCCTACTGATCCTCTCCTTATCTCTCCATATGTGTTGGTAGCATGTAATCAAAGAATCAGATATAGTGCCTTATCTCCTGAGTAGGTGGAGCTCACGTAGCGGTCGGTTGTGACATACAGGAAGTCAGCTGTGCTCAGGAAAAACCAAGGCATTGCACAGTTGACTTTTTTGATAACTTTATTAATATGTTCAAAAATTTCAATTTATTCAACTCTTTGTACTGCTGTGTGTTTACACACCACTGCACATGTATGGAACTTTTGCTCTCTATGTGGTCTTGTGTTGAGCCTGCATTCCACACAGTTCCACAGACATGGTGCAAAGGAGTTCTTAGTAAATGTAAATATAAGTGAGTCATGTTTTGCTAAGACAGAAGATGAAGCCAACTGGCATTAGAAGTAGAAGATTGGAAATATTAGCAACTAAATGTTTCTCAGTACATAATTCCTTTAGTGGATAAAAATGAAACAGAAAAAATACACTGTCCCTTCACTAAGTTACCTACCATGTACTTTTTCTCAAGCAAATAGGAAGCGAAGCAGAATTTTCCTTTTGTAGAGCACACACCTACACCAATGATGCTCTCACCCCGTATACACCTATCTAGCCATTGCCTATGAGGGCTAATAAGGATGCAGACACTCCAAAACAGCAGTCCACATTTATGGGCATTTCCCATTCTGAGGGTGTTGTATTTGGAGACTCTGTGGCCTGCTTTATAGGAGTGAGTTACGTGACAAATTTAACACCTTGGAAACTAGGCTTCTCTCTGCAAACAGAATATCTTTTTTTTCTTTTTTTAAATGACCATGCCATGAGAGAGGTATTGGGATTGCCATTGCTGACCTCCTGAAAATACTTATTGTATGGCATCAATACATTCTGAGTTTCCAGATTTAAACATAAATGTTGTAAATGAGTGTCATGAGCTTTTATTTGTGTAATATTTATTTATTTAATAAAAGAATTCAGGTTTTACAACAAATACATGTGTAACATCAATATGCACAGTATCAGGAATGGAATGCATGTCAAATTAATAAAAATAAAGTGTAAATGTGTCAATAAAAATATTAAACAATATATAAATCAGCAACAATTCAGGGGAAGTAGAAACTAAAAACTGAATTCACCTTTCTTATTTTTCCAAAATACATTAACAGAGAGAAAAAAAAAGAAAGGGAAAAGAGGAAAATAGCTATTAGGATTATTTGTGTACTTATTCCTGGTCAGTGACCTAAAGTATTGAAGATTTAGCATGACAGCCAGACAGCTAGCATTTTGAGAAGGAATGGTCAAAAAATAGGTCAGAAATATTAGCATCCATGATTCTCTAAAGACAGGTTTGCATGAAAGAGGTTCTAAAGGCAAAAGGTTTTTCACCTTTCAATGCATTCTCTGCATTAAGGTAAAAATGTTCTGTGATCATTTCCCCCCACCCAACCCTCCCCCTTATACATACCTGAGCCCGATCTCAATCCAGCGCTGTGCCCACCCTCTCCCTCCTCACTAGACATGGAGGCAACAGTGGTAGCCATTGGTTTCTGCTGCTGTCAATCATGGTCTGTAAGGCGGGAAGCAAGAGACTGGACCAAGCTGTATGTGGATCAGGATGAGTGCCCCCATAGCAAGTGGCTATGGGGCAGGAGTCAGGTGGACCCAAGAAGAAGAGGATCGGGGCTGTTTTGTGAAAAAAAAACATTGCACAGAGCAGGTAAGTATAACCTGTTTGTTATTTTAAAGATAAAGAATGTTTTTCTTTACAATCACTTTAAATTGCTTTCCCAACAAAACACCAGAAAATGGTATTTGCAATAGAAAATTCTAAATACTTACCTCTCCAGTGATAGTAAATCTAGACTCCCCTGTGTTCCGTCAATAAAGCCTCCAACAGAATCTTCTTCATTTTCAGGAGTGTCAAATGCCTACTGGGTGCTGTTATACACTCTGCCAACCCTATGTCACTACAGAACACAGTAGTGAGGAAGGGTCTGGGAGGGAGAAACTACCAAGCAAGTGGCTAAGCATCCAACACTGCTGGATGTGAAAGTTTTGCCGGAGGTTGTAGTATTAAGACAGTAGAGTTTGGACTCACTGCCTGCTGATGAAATAAAAGTTAAGAGTCTTTTATTGAGAGAACATTTTTTTAGATTTTTTTATTTGTAATCGACTGAGTCACTTTCAGCCAATAGAGTTTATTTTTAAAGCTTAATGGCACATCAGCGATATTTGCCGGAGAGGAAAAAGCAGGTTCAGCAAAAGTAATATGTAACAAAATTGTTGGTATAATACATCACCCATGTTGCATCTTGTAAATGGTGCAAAATAGTAAACTATAAAATATCCAATAAGTTCTAGAAAAGACTAGTTCAGCCCAGCATTCAAAGTCATACATCATTACACTTTCCGTCACCACATCCACGCGTGTAAATGTAAAAAAAAACTATATATACGCACTAACTCAAAAACCGGCTTTAAACTCCGACATGACATTTATTTGCAAGTTTTCAAAGAGTGTATTAACCTTTCCATGTTAGCTGTGTCACAATTTGTCTTGTTTTCCCAGTCTACAATAAATAGCATAGAATCACATTTCCTATCTAGCACTTTAGAAGTATTTTTTAAATCATTACAAATGAAATGACATAATAATTCAGTCAATATTTCATTTGCTGCCAGGCAGCTGTTGGCAAATCTGCTCTGTGTGAAGTAAAAATGGCCCAATTTCACATTCAGTTTTTTATTTTAACGGTTTCGATTTTCTAAAGTCATATTGGCTTCAGAAGGAGAGTTAGAGAGAAAGAGACACACGGAGAGTGAGAGAGATTGCTTAGTGCTGTGGTGCAAACACATATGGCAAATGACTTCTAATATGGACAATTTAAAGAAAGCAATTTTTATATATTAAATTATTAAAACTCCCACATTTCCGGCAACAAAATGTGTTTCTTGTGCATTATTTTACCCGTAGGAGAAAAACTATAGAAAAATATGAAAATATAAACAGTGCCATGATTTATTCAGGGAGTGGAAGTCATTGTAAACTAAGATGAATATTTAAAGGGAAAGCATATCAAAATTATGCAGTATAGATAATAAGAAGCAACTATTTCTGCCAGCAGTTTGCACTAAGAAAGAATTACAATTGCTGCATGATTCAAGGAAAACTATACAGTAGTTTATTTTGCTTTTTTTTATACTGTGAAATCAAATAACATTATTTAACAAAATTATATCCATCATTTTAGAGTGAACCAAAATAACAGATTTTTAATAGGTTTAGAAAGGAGCAAAGCATGTTCACTTTGCAGACTTAATTTTCACTTAGCTCAGTGAATGAGGTGACGCTAAAATGAAGGTGAAGTGAAAATTGTATAGAATACCCAGTCATGTGAAAGGAAAATTTGAAAAACAGGATTTTTGTTCAAATATGAATTAATGTTTATTTTAATGCATAGGGTCTGAGGGGTATTTCCTCCCAGATCTGGCCCAGGGCATCACTGAGCTCCTGGACAGTCTAAGGTGCAATCTGTCGGTGTTGGATGGACCGAAACCTGGCATCCCAGAGGTGTTATATTGGATTTAGGTCAGGCGAGCGTGCAGGCCTTTCAATGGTATCAATTCCTTCATCCTCTAGGAACTGCTTGCATACTCTCGCCACATGAGGCCGGGCATCGTGTGCACCAGGAGGAACCCAGGACCCACTGCGCCAGCGTAGGTGTAGGATATTGTAATTTTATTTATATATATATATATATACAGTATATATATATATATATATATATATATATATATAGTGTAAATTCATGTTATTGACCAAAAGGATATCCAAGGATTCCTTACTATGTTAATTTAAGAGGCGGTAATTACCTTTCCTTTGTTATGTTGGATCTTAAATATTCATGAGGCCCTTGTTTAAGTATATGGTAGATGGGTTTAAGGCTCCTTAAATATTCATAGTGTACTTGTTTATGGTGAAGAGAATTTCAACATGGGTGTCCTGTCCACCTTTGTACAAGGATGTTGAAGGGTGCAGTTTTGCCATAAACAAGACAAGGAGTATCTATTCAACTTTGTAATTAAAATCTAGGCATCCAGCTGTTCTAGGTCAAGACATATTGTTTGTAACACTTAAGATCAAACATGCTCATAAAACCAACCAATCAGATTGCTCTACACTTTGATCAATGGGAAAAGGTTTATATTAGGGAAGGTTTTTTTGGTTGAGTGGGGTCAGAAGAAATGGGGTGACAAGAGAAGGTGGGGTCAGGAGAAAGAGTGATAGGAGAAAGTGGGTCCTATGAGGGTTTCTGATGATTGCATGAGTATTCTGGGTACCCTGTCATCTGCCTTGTCTGTGCCTCTTTTTTATGGATTGTCGCTGAACTGATTAAATGCATCTCTCTGAAAAAGAAAAATAACGGGAAAATACATTTATAAATAGACTCGTCATACGTCCACATTAATAAAAGACAACAGTATGGTATGCGAATTTGTGCCAGTCGCCGTATAGGAATTCCCTTACAGGATCCAAGGATTTCATCCCGATACCTAATGGCAGTCAGGGTGCCATACTCTAGCCTGTAGAGGTCTGTGTGTCCCTCCATGGATATGCCTCCCCAGACCATCTCTGACCCACCACCAAAACAGTCATGCTAAATGATGTTACAGGCAGCATTAAGTTCTTCACGGCTTCTCCAGACTCTTTCACGTCTGTCTGGTGTTCAGTGGTAAATGCCAATTGAGCTCTATGGTGCCGGGAAGTGAGCACAGGGCCCACTAGAGGATGTCAGGTCCTTAAGCCACCCTCATGGAGTCTTTTTCTGACTGTTTGGTCAGAGACATTCACACCAGTGGCCTGCTGGAGATCATTTTGTGTAGTGCTCATCCTGTTCCTCCTTGCACAAAGGAGCAGAAATCGGTCCTGCTGATGGGTTAAGGACCTTCTACAGCCATGTTGTCTCATTGTTGCCCATCTAATGCACCTGTTGTTAATTTCATTAACACCAAAGCAGCCTAAACTGAATAGCAACCCCCTCTGCTACTTAGCTGACCAGATCAATATCTCTGGAGTTTAATTGACGTGATGCTATAATCTGATTAAAAAGTGTTCCTTTAATGTTTTTGAGCAGTGTACAATCAAATTTTGTCTTTTTGATACAACTATATTGAAGATAGCTGGATTGCATATCAGCCATTGTTCTTTTTGATGATAAAATGGACTATATACACATATACTAACACTAGACAGGAGAAATACCTGAATGAATATATAACATGCACTATGCTCATTTCTACTGATGTTTGTCACCGTCATTGACTTAAATAAAAATGTGAAAAAGTGGTAAGGCAGACTGGTACAAACAGACATTCACTGAAAAACACATATAAAAGGTTTTTTTTAATCTACACTCCCCACTGACACCACTAACTGTGGAAGGTTAACTATGGAAGGATAAAGATTTGTATATTGCGATCATATCCCCTATTAAGTGCCTCTTCTCCAGAGAGAATAAGTTCAATTTTTATAGTTGTTCCTCATAGCTGAGGTCCTCCAGCCCCCTTATTTGCTTTGTTGACTT